AGTATCATGAAACAATCTCCTCTCAAGCCGTGGCTTGATGTAAATGGAAAATGCTAGCTATTTCCCTGCCTATACTTTATTATTCACAAATCTGTTTATGGAATCTTTCACTATACACATACACATACACACACACACACACACACACACACACACTTTCCCTTTCATTTCTATAGTCAAAAATATACTTCTATTCCTTGGCAGTCCCAAGATTTGCAATTCAATTTATCTCACCAAAGTTGATGATCAAATATAGATGAACCCTCCAAAGAAGATGTAACAAAAAGCACACAAAAACACATTACCTATAAGAAAATGCAAATCAAACCACAAGATACACTAGGCATGGTGGTGCATGCCTGTAATCCCAGAAACTCAGGAGGCTGAGGCAGAAGGATCTCAAGTCCAAGGCCAGCCTCAATAACCCTGTCTCAAAATTTAAAAAAAAAAAAAAAAAAAAAAAATTTAAGGGCTAGGAACATAGCTCAGGGATAAAGCTCCTCTAGGTTAAATCCCCAATACTCAAAAATAAAATAAACTACAAGATACCACTTCACAGCCACTAGGATGGCTATAATAACAAGTGCAGACAATAACAAGTATTGACAAGGATGCAGATAAACTTTAATCTTCATGCACTGCTCACTGGATTGCAAAATGGAAAACAAACTAGCAGTTCCTCAAATGTCTAAACACGGAATTACCACACAACCAAGGGATTATACTCCTATGCATATACCCAGAGAAATGAAAAACATGTCTACACGAAACCTGTACATGAATATTCAGAGCATTGTTCATAATACCCTAAAACTGAAAAAAAAATCAACTGTCTTATCAACTGACAAATGAATAAACAAAATGTGATATAACCATAGAGTGGAATTCTACTCATTCTTGAAGAGGAATGAAGAGCCAATGCATCCATTAATATAAAATATCCAGATTAGGCAAATTCAGTGAAACAGAAAATTAATGGCTACCTAAAGCTGTGGGCTGGGAGGGAGAAATAAGAAGTGACTGCTAATAGGCAGAGGGTTTCTTTTTTGGAGTGATGAAAATGTTTTAACGTTAATTTCATTTAGTTGTGGCACAGTTGCAAACAAACTAAAAACCACTGAACTATATACCAAAAATAAAAACTTACAAAAATATAAAGATGAACCACTCTACAAGCAATTCCCTCTTTAGAGAAAATGAAATCCACAGAAAATGTTCCACTCCTGTCCAACGCACAATAATGTAAACCCAAAATATCTACTCTTGATAATGTGGAGACACTACAGGAAATTCTTTAGACAGATTAGTGAAGTTATTGTCCATGAAGTTCAAAGCCCAACCATTTCCATGTTTTAAGTTGAGACTGACTAAAACCATATTTAGACATGCACTCCAGAAAAATGCTTTGAAGAATTTTATTCTCATCATTCATGAATTTAAAATATCCATCCAGGCAAGAGAAAATGCCTGAAAGATTCAGTCTTTTGTTCCCTTCCTCCTTAGAACTCTTACTCTTTTGGCTCCCTTTACCCATTATCTCATTTGAAAGTGAAGCACCTTTGTCAGAGCAAAAATGAAAAGATGCTAGTTCTAGCTCACCTCCTTACTTCCATTTGAGCCATTCCTCCTTAGTGCAATGGGTCCTCAGAGCTCTGCTGTATCCTCTAAGATCAGAACATTCTCCCTGGGAAGATTCCCCAATCCATCTCTAGCCCATATTTTTCTCCTAATCTCCAAACACCAAATACTCAACTGCTCAACTGACAGGTTCCCAAATCAAATGTCCAAAACCAACTCACCCAATGTTCCTTTTGTCTCTATGAATGGCATCACCATACACCTCCTTGAACAAGGCAGAAACCTGGGAGTAAGCCTCCACTCCTCACTCTCCTTCACATCCAATTAATCATTTCTTCTTCCCCTTCCTGCCTTACTAGTGTTCCAGTCCTTCTCTTTCTATCATCACTGCCACTATCAAAGCTCAGATCATATTCATCTCTTATCTGAACACCAAGGTGATTCCTAAGTGGTCTTCCAAATGCCTGCGCTCCTCTGGTTGCTGTGTGATTGTTACAGATCCAATCTGATCACGCCACTCTCCTACATTATACCTGGAATGATGACTGGGCATGGTTGTGTATGCCTGTAGTTCCAGCAACTTGGGAGGCTAAGGCATGAAGATCGTGAGTTTAAGGCCAGCCCCAGTGACTTAGCAGGGCCCTAAACAACTTTGCAACTGTCTCAAAACAAAAAAAATTTTAAAAGCTGGATCTTAAAAAAAAAAAAAAAAAAAAAGGATGGGGAGGTGGACCATTGGTTAAGCACCCCGGGGTTCAATCCCCAGTGCAAAACAAAAACCTGTAATGGCTCTCCACTGTCCTTCCCAACTTTCTCACACCGTCCTTGTTTTTCCCAACACCACCTGCTTCTGACACATACCATCTTCCCCCTCCCCACTGGTCTACATAGTCCATTCCCTTCATCTGGAAAGCTCTCTTGGCTTACTCTCATGCCTCCTGGATGTCTAACTTACATGTCACTTCCTCTTGGAAGCCACTCTGTGCTAGGGACCCATCTGTGTGCTACCATAGCATCCTGTTTTTAGCCCTGTGCTGGCATTAACTTTGCCGTTCTGTAACACACTGTGTCACAACCGACAGTTTCCTCAGTGTTTCCCTGCCATCTCCAAGCCCCAGCTCACTGAGCTCATTCAAGATATTCAAGAGTGCTAAGCACAGTGTAAACATTCAACAAATACTAGCTGAATGATTAGTTCATCCACAGTATTTACTTAATAGTTATTTCTGCACCACATTCAGTCAGCCTTACCACCCACAAAGGCACCAGTTTAAGTGCTAAAAACTAAGTTCTGCTAAAAGAATAATAAGGGAAAAAAAAGTTACTGATCATGCCACATTCAGGTACTCCTAAATAAACAAAATGGACCTTCCTTAAGTGTCTACAATGTATCAAGTATTACACTTGGAGTTTTAGAGATAACTAAAACCCTACAATAAAAACAGCTGACGTTAACTAAATGTATATTAAGTGCCAGGTACTGAGCAATGCACTTAAATGTGTTCGAATTTAATTCTCACAACAATCTTGTGAAGTGGGGGAAATATCTAAAGAGGTTAAAGGAATTCATCAAAGACTATCACTGGGTTAACGAAGTAGTCACCAATAGAGCTAGGTTTGGATCCTGGTAGTCTGCCACTGGAGGCTGAGTTCTCCATCATTACACTATTCCACCTCTGTCAAATACATCTTTTTAGACCACGGTGTTCAGTTTATTATAATTAGAAGATGATGTAAAGCTATAGGCTTCTTGGAATTGACAGGAAGTTAAGTTGGAACAATGAAAAGTGACCTCTCTTTAAGGAGAGGTCTATATAATATAATAGATAATTCTATATCTATTACTAATGATTCCCAAATTCAACACTCCAGTCAGTGGGACCCCTTCCTGAGACTAGACCCATGAGACATCTCAGCCCTTCAAAATTCTGCCTTGCCACCCTTCCATTTCCTGCTCCTCCTATTGTACTTACTGCCTTGTATGGTTAAGGGCACTACAACTCTAAGCCTAAACTTTAGGTGTTATCCCAGAAGGTCCCTGTCTTGTTCCCTCCCCTTTCTACCCAGTACTTTCAGTGCTGCCAATCTCACTCACCAGTGCCTGCTCTGCAGCAACTGCTTCATAAATGTTTGTTACTGTTACTATTCCATCCTAAATGCCTCTGGATTCTTCTTTACATCTATATTGTTCCGTTTCTAAGGAACTAGTTTTCCAGAGCAAGGAATATGAAGGCACAGAACCTGAAGAGAACTTTTTGTTTCATTTTGTTTTTGGTGGGTGCTAGAGATGGATTCCAAGGTCTTAGGCATGTCTGTCAGCCAAATGCTCTATCACTGAGCTACAATCCACACCTAAAGCACAGAAGCATAGAGAAATGTCTCCTATAGAGAGAGCCAGGCTGACAACCACTCAAGCCATAGATTTTTCCATGAAAGCAAACAGGAGGTACACCTGAACACTGGCTAGTAAAGAATAGCAAAATCCAAAGAGCAAACTAAAGATTATGAGAATGTCACATACTGAAATAGAAACTAACAAATGGCTCCAATTTCAAGGAACCAAACATTCTACTTTATTCCATTTTACAAAATTAATAATTCAGCATTTAATACTGAGTGGCTCTCAAAAAGTAGGGAAAAGGGGCTGGAGCTGGAGCTCAATGGCAGAGCACTTGCCTAGCATGTGTGAGGCACTGGGTTCAATACTTAGCACCACATAAAAACAAATAAATAAAATAAAAGCATTCTGTCCATCTACAACTACAAAAAAAATTAAAAAAAAAAAAAAAAGTGGAGAAAAGGATGATTCTGCTTTCTTGTCCCCTGAGCAATTGGCAATGTCTGGAGACATTAGTTGTCACAACTGGGGAAATGCTAGTGGCATCTAGTGGGTAGAGGCCATAAATGCTGCTAAACATCCTAAAAAGCAACCCCCACAGAATTATCCACCCCAAAATGTCAAAAGTGCTACTATTGAGAAATCTTGATAAATGTTCTGAGCACCCTTCTTTTCAAGTTACTTAGTGTATAAAAAGTTTCTTCTTTCTGGGAAGATAATACAAACTTCTCCCATAAACTAAGAAGAGTTCGTAAGATAGTTACGGGGTATCCTTGGAAAAGAAATGGGTAAATGCTAACTAAATAGTTTAGAAAATAAATGCTATGAATTCAGAGGAAGGCCCCCCCCTTCCCACAGGCTAAGGCCCTTATATAGACCTCAGAGCAGAAGGGGTGCCTCAGTCAACTTCAAGCCAAAAAGTACCCAATATCCACCTTCCCAGCCTTACCTGTAGCAGATCTTGTCCCTTCAAGCTACCCTCTGCTCCTGCCAAAGTGTTCACTGTTTACCCGTGACAGGAACTGAGCCACAGGGACACAACATCCCACCATACCATTACTACTAAACAAATGCACTCACGTACTTCACAAAAATTCTGTCCTTCAGCTAAGCAGCAATAGCCCCCCATCCAGGACTGAGAAGGCCATGACATCATCTCAACCCAATCATTAAATGTTCCTATAACTCCTAGAGGAAGAAGGTAATAAAAAGACAAAGGTACAAAATGTTGTACATGGTTCAGACCCTAAGCCCTTGTCCTCCACCACCTAAAATCAGTGCTCAGCAGTAGCCAGCCAGGAGCCGCCTCATTTCCTGTGCAACTACAGTAAAAATAGGAAGTGGGGGAGGAAGTTCACAAAGCAGAAACAAAAGTAATCACCGCCTAGCTTCCTGAACACAAATCACTGAGCAGGGAGGGTATCATTAAAACATCAAAATGGAAAGGCAGGAATGGAGAGAGCCAAGGCCAGAGGAAAGGAAGTGACACTTCTGGGTCCACCAAGCCACAGACTATTTCTGTGACAGGGAAACAGCTCCAAAAGAAAAACTGGACACTAACCTACAGAATGGCTTCCTAGGAATTAATACTAAAACATTTTAAATTTAAAACTCATGCAAAAACTCCCAAAATATTTGTCCTATCAATGTAAAAAATGTCAAATGAAAACATTTTAGGGAGGCCAAGATTAATCTTTTTTTTTCCCCCCTAGTCAAGAAGTGGCTATTAAAACTGCTGTCAAGGGGCTGTGGCTCAGTGGTAGAACACTTGCCTAGCATGTGTGAGGCACTGGGTTGGAGCCTCAGCACCACATATAAATAAAGAAAACCATTGTTGGGCTGGAAATATAGCTTAGTTGGTGGGCCCTGGGTTCAATTCCCAGCACCACAAAACAAAACAAAACAAACAACAAAAACTGTTGTCAAAACAAAGAGTTACAGAGCTGGAGTTGTGGCTCAGCAGGAGAGTGCTCGACTAGCATATGCAAAGGCCTGGGTTCGATCCTCAGCACCACATAAAAATAAATAAAATAAAGGTATTGTCCACCTACAACTAAAAAATAAATAATAAAAAAAAACCCAAAGAGCTACAAATTGATTACATAACAAAATGTGAGGTCCATGTATCCTATATTGAGTTATAAAACCTCAAGGAGATAGAAAAAAAATCTACTAAATAAAAATCCTAATCAAGGCCAGAACCTGTCATAGTTAAAATGAAGATTCTGGCTGGGATGCAGCTCAGTGATAGGGCACTTGTCTATTTTACATGAGGCCCTGGGTTCATTCCCTAACACCAGAAAATAAAAATGCTTCTACACTGCTGACGTGAGACAGTGCTGTTGAGTTCAGCCTCTATGTCCTAGGCACCAGAATATAGCAATAAACAAGACAGACTGCTCACAAGGAGCAATAAGTCTAACCATGGAACAAAATACATACACACAGTGACACTTGACTGCCTCTGTGGTAACATTTGCTCTTATAACAATTTATTACCACAAAATATGGCATTCCTCTACAAAATCAAAGCTAGTTATCATTAGTGGTTCTAAGGAGCTTTCATATTTGGTAATTTACAAACAGCTGATCATTTCATTTAAGCAGAAGAAAAACTTCTAACCAGAAAGTCAACAGAGTTGAAATTCACTTTCAAAATAACACGGGTTTAAAAAAAAAAAAAAAGGCCAAATATGTTAAATGGTCATATAGATGAGGAATAGGTTTAATTTTGTTTAAATTGAGGGTTTTGTTTCTTTTTTAAAATTTTTTTTAGTTGTAGATGGACACAATATCTTTATTTTTTTATGTGGTGGTAAGGATTGAACCCAGTCCTTCATGCTTGTAAGGCAAGCGCTATACCGCTGAGCTACAACCCCAGCTCTTGTTTATTTTTTAAAGCCATTACATAAGTAGAAAAGTAAACGAAATGGGTGGTAATTACCACACATTCAACTTGACACAGAATTAACATTCAATGAAAAAAAAGTCCATCCTGTTGAGAACAGACCTAGAGCTATCAATCTAATTTTCTGATAATAAAATGACTTACTGTATTCTGTACTTTAAGACTGATGGTTAATTTTTTTATGAAGTTTAAAAACTAATTTTCAGAGCCAGCACAGTGACACACAACCTGAATCCCAGCTCCTCAGGAGGCTAAGAAAGGAGGCTCTCAAGTTTGAGGCCAGCTGGGGCAACTTAGTAAGATCCTGTTTGAAAATTTTAAAAAGGCTAGGGATATAGCTCAGTGGTAAAGTACCCCTAGGTTCCATCCCCAGTACCAAATTAAATAAACATATAAATTAAATTAAATTAAAAGGGCTGGGGAAGTACCTCAGTGGTATAGTGTTCCTGAATCCAATTCCCAGTACTAAAAAGAAAAAAAAAATTAACTTTCAAAAACTTACTGTTGCCATAAAAAAAAAAACTAGTAATATTAGAACCTTTAGAGTATTTTTATTAAAGAAACAAAAGAATAAACCAAAAGAATTTTTGTTAAACAAAAATCTTCAAAAGGAGAAAAAAAGAGTGAATCCTTGAAAAGAAAAAAGTTTTGTCTACACACACACACACACACACAAACACATACACAAACCATTACATATCACCAAAGAATGAACAAAGTTGGCTCTTGAACTTCTGAAAATGTTTGCTGTGGTAAAATGAGGTTTGTTGTTTTTTTTTTTTAAAGGCAATGTCTTTTTTTTTTTTAATGTTTATTTAGTTGTAGATGAACACACAGTATCTTTATTTATTTTATGTGGTGCTGAGGATGGAACCCAGTACCTCACATGTACGAGGCAAGCACCTTAACCACTGAGCTACAGCCTCAACCCCTAAAATGAAGTTTTTATCCTTAAACTAAAATGATCTTAAACCATTAACATTTTTTCTAGCAAATTCACCCAAACAAATTGTGCTAATGGAAAATCAAGTGTAAACTGGGGTGAGAATAAGTTACTTTTCTTTAATTACAAAGTACTGATGTTAATTTTTTCAGATCCAGTTTTTAAAAATGCAACAACAATCTCCATACATTAAAAACCCGTAGTAGTGTATTTTTGTTACAGTGTGGTAACAACAACAAAAAAAAAGCCCAGTTATCTAATCTGAGAATACAAGGCTAACTACCTACCTCAGTTACTCCTCTCTCACAACAGGCTTCTGGCACCAAAATTAGGGGGGGGGGGGGGTGTTGTTCCAACACATCAAGTAAGCAAGCAATTCTATAGATTCTCCTGAGGACAACAGCAGGGTTTTCTCTAACTCAACTCTGACGTGTCTGTCTGGAGATAACATCAGATCCCATAGGTTAAAGGCTCAGTCACTTCACTGTCCCAGGCTTCTGATGCCAATTGAAACTTCTGGTTGTTTTATTTTTTTCATCAACACAATTTAAATCAGGATTCCTTCAACCCTTTCCTTGAATTCCATGAGTTTGTCAGAGTGGCTCACAGAATTCATGAAACCAACTGGATAATACCTACCAAAATATCTTGTTCTTGTAAAAAGTATACATATGAAAATATGCAGAGCATTCTCTGGGCACCCATCCTCCATGATGAGCCTTCACCAGTTTAACTATCCAGAAGCTCTCTGAACCCTGTTCTGTCAGGTTTTCAAGAAGGTTTCATTACGTAGGCATGACTGATTAAATCACTGGCAACTGGTGAGCAATTCAACTTTCAGTTCTTCTCCCCTTGCCAGAGATTGCCAAGTGGGCTGAAGTTCCAACTCTATGATGCTGCCTAGATTTTCAGTCCATCAGCCTCCATCCTGAAGCCCCAAATATTTATTACTTTGGAGGTTTCAAGTATTATTATTTTAGGAGTTGCAATGCCAGGAAACAGGGAAGAAAACCAAATAGGAATTTCACAATATCACATCTACAAGAACTTTTTAAACTTGTAAAAGAAACTTGGTCTAAGCAGACACAGCTGTGCACGCCTGTAATACTAGGGACTAGGCAGGCTAAGGCAGGAGGATCGCGAGTTCAAAGCAAGCCTCAGTGATTTAGTGAGATACTAAGCAACTCAGTGAGAACCCTGTCTCTAATAAAATAAAAAACAGGGATAGGGATGTGGCTCAGTGGTCGAATGCCCCCAGATTCAATTCCCAGTACCCCCCCCCAAAAAAAGAAAGTTGGTCTAGTAAAAACTAATTGCATCCATTAGAAAGTTACTTAAGAGATAGTAGAAAGAGACAGATATTATTACCCTATATACATGTATGATTACACTAGTAGAATGAGTCTGAACCATGTGCAGCCAGAGCAATCAATGAGAAGTTGTGCTCCATTTGTGTATTAAATACCAAAATGTATTCTACTGTAAAATAAATAAATTTTAAAAATAATAAAATAAAAGTTACTTAAGAAAACAAAATTCAATACCACTACTCATTCTTAACATTGTGTGACCTATTCAAAATAGCACTGTGTGACCTATTCAAAATTAACCTCAAAGGGAAAAACAAATACTTCTCCAGAAATTTACAGAGAAGCAAATCAAACTATGTTGGAAATTATTTTTTTATTATGGAGAGGAATTATATAAATTTTGATAAATTCCAGATTCAAGACCATTTCTGAAAATGTAAGGTAATTAACAACAGTTTTATCAATGGAGAATGATAGTGGCTTCCTTCTCGGAACTGGGAACACTGACTCCAATTGTACACATACAGAAAGCCCTCTCATTTATCAAAAAGACCAGCAAGCCAGAGTCACAACTAGGGAGCCTGTTTTTCTCCACAAACATTTCAGCAAGCCAAACCTTTAGAAAAGTGGAAATGCTAGAGGCCTCATATTCACCTACCAGACAAGGAAGGCAGCTTCAGAAAGCAGGCCCCCAGTGGTTAACCTCCAGTCTAATCTTCCAGCTCTGCCAGTTATCCACACCATGAGCCTTCACACACCTCAAGCATTTACTGAGGTCCTACTATGTGCACAGTACTACTCCAGGCATCAGGGATGCAGTGGTACAGCTTATAATCTAATGAGAAAAAAATAGGGAACTGTTCAGGCCCCTCTCTTTTCAGTAAGATGCTCCAATACAAAGAAGAAACTTCGTAGAAATATGGCACTGATGAAGTGCAGTAGTTTACCAGTATGGATTAGGAATCAGACTGACCTAGATGGGAATTCCTACTCTCAGTAATTATCAGCTTAATGAGTGGCGCTTGTTAACTTTATGACCTTAAGGAAGTCACTTGGAAAAAAACCAATATTTCCCCTCCGATAATAGGTACAGACCCAGGGCCTCACAAGGGGAGACAAGTTCTCTACCACCAATTTTCATCCCCAGCTCTTTTCATTTTATTTTAAGACAGGGTCTCACTAAGTTGTCCATGTTAGCCTCCAACTTGTAATCTTCCTGCCTCAGTCTCCGGAGCAGCTGAGATTACAGGCATGTGCCACGTGGTTAAGTCACTTGGATTCTTGTGCTTCAGTTTCTTCAGTACTATGGTGAGGATTAAATTCATAAAGCACGGCACTTGGCACACCTTGAGTTTCAGTAAGTGGAAGCTACCACCCTCTTTACAAAGAGGCTATGGATTAGTCAGAGGGTAACACTTTGTCTTCCACTATAATTTTTCATTCTGTACTACTACAAAACACCCCCATCCTGCCATACCACAGTTACAGCTTCCAGAAATAGAACTTACTTTCCTGCAGCTCCCAACTCACAAAGTCCAGGCAACAAACTGAAAAAGTGAGGATGCCCAGTGTGCTCCAGAGAAAAAGGTCATGGCTCCTCCCATTTCCCTGCTACCGGTCCCTCCTCCTTCAGAGAGAAATAGAACATATGCCATAGCTGAAGAAGATAATTGACAGACAGCTAAAGAGGGAGACATAGCTGAAAAGGGAGATCAGTCACCTTGAAATACAAAGTACATGACAAAGTTACTTAAATATAAGGATATAGTGCATTCTTTCCTATTTTGAGACCCAGGGACAGCACAAGTCCTTGTGAGTTGACAAAAAGGCCCACTTTGGCCTCTCCCTGCCTAAGTCACCAGAACCTGGGGCACCTAGGTCTGGAAGCCAAGCCAACTTTCTTCTGCCTCTATTCTCATGTGTTTATATCCACCTCTGGGACCAGGGAGTAGAGTGGGGGAAGACTCAGATATTCTCATTCTCTGGCTATAATTGCCCTCTCACTAAATCACCTTTAATTTGAAAATGAATCTTTACAACTGCCAATTTGAAAATGCATTTACTACCAGTGGCCCAGACACAGTCAAAAAGGTTTGTTTGTTTTTTTGTTTTTTTTTTTAGAGAGAGCAATATTATATCTAGGAAAGAATCTTAAATTAGAAATACACTCATAGTAAGGGCTGGAGATGTAGCTCCATGGTAGAGTGCTTGCCTGACATGCACAAGGTACTAGGTTTGATCCTGAGGCAGGGGCGTAGATTCACAGTAGAGGGAGAGTCAAGAACACCCGCTGTCAGTCTGTCTATAAGCATCAACCAGGAAGTAACTCACATGTCCTGCATTAAGGGGTTTATTAAATAAATTATACAAGAACATCTCACAGCCATTTCAAAAATCAAAGTAAAGGATTCAATCCCCAGGACCAGCTCCTCCCCACCCCCAAAAAAGATCAAAGTAGAACCTCCACATTAATGGTCTAAGATGCCATCAATAAATCACATCATCTTATATACACTCAGGAAAAACTGACATATAATGATGACTGACCTGCCATCCCACAACACAGCCTAGTTTCTCTTCAGCTTTTTTTGTTTCTGATCCTTCTGCCTCAAGCTATCTGGGCCTTAGAACAAGACACTTTGTATCCTTTCCCCTTTGTTTGACTTTTTCCTGAAGTTACCCATATTTAAGATTCATAGTTCTGATGACCATCATGCTTAGGCCACCTAAGTCATCACAGAACTTTTCCTGATCCCCTGCACCCTCTGCTATCATTGCCTGTCAGTAACTCTGTCTTTCTCTCTAAAAGAACTATAAGAATGATAGAAAGAGACTGAACATATCATCACATTTATTGTAGTACAGTCCACAGCCATAGCAACAAAAACATTCCCACCACAATCAGTCTAAGGTCTTTACAAATATAAACTCATTAAAACCTCACTCTAACCTCAGGAGATAGG